TTGACCCTTTACTCCCCTGGCCTCTTGGTTCAAAGCTCCTTTCTTGGTCTGCTTGTCCTCTCCCGATCTCTCCACTTCTTTCTCCTCTTATGGTCAGGTTCAGTCTGGACCCCTACCAGATGCTCCTGGCTGTGCTCTCCCTCAGATCTACAATAAAACACTTCTCCTCAACCAAATCTAGGAACGGTCATGTCCTCATTTTCATTCAGTGGGTGACTTGCTCATCCCACAAATAACTGACTTTGAGTCAGGGGATCGGATAGCAGCATGACAAATGAGAGAAGTATGAGTACCAAAAATAAATGATGCTTTTCTTAGCATCAGTATGATATGTAAACACTGGAAACACCCACCAGTGACCCTGTTATCTTATAGCCAACTATAAATTAAACAATATATGATTCCACCCTCTATCTCTTGGGGTTTTTTTCTTCTGTTTATTTGATAAAGATCAATGTGATGTTAGATACTTGTGCAGGGGTAAGAGAAGTGGCAGTGAGGGAAACAAGGAGTTTGTCTTTCTGGTAAAATTTCTAGTAACTTTCAGTCAAAAGTTTAGTTTTCTAATAAAGAAAGACAAGTTAAAGAAATGTGTGTATGTGTGTGTGTGTGTGTGTGTGTTACACATTTACCCACCTATGCATTTTTTACATCTTATATAAAATCCCTTTTTGTGTTCCTATAATCCTCCTGTATTCTCTGGTAATTATAAACACAATTTCAATAACTATTTGTGGTGACAGTGTCACCTATATTTATACAATTTGTAAAAAAAAAACATAGGGTATATACAACACATGTACTTTGAGTGTATATAATTTGTAGTGAGCTCTCCAGATGGTAATAAAGACTACGTCAGACAGAAAGTTAGATATGGAGCAGTGTGCAGACAGAGGCCTGGGGAAGCCTGTGGAGTTGGCGGTATTGGCTATAATTTATACACTGGGGAAGAGAATGTGAAACTCTGTGCTCTAGCTACAGACTCTCAAGCTCTCTGCTTTAAAGGGAAGCAGGCAAACATGCCTGCCCTGCTCAAGGGGAAGGAAATGCCAGCGCCTAGGCACAGTGTGCATTACTCATTGTTCTCGCTGGATCATGCTTTATTTCTAAGCTTTTAGTTTATTTCATTTGGCTTATTGATTTCTTCTAAGCCATGCTAAGTGTGGCCTTCAAACCGTAGCTCCCGTCCTGAGCAGCAGTTCCATGTTCATTTAGCTTTGGATGATCCACCCTCATCTCAAATTTGTTTTCTTGGTTTAAAAACCTACCTGAGGCTACAGTGGGGACCATCATGCAGTTGGATATTCCCCAGTGATTAGGCATTGGAAGTGGCCAAAGAAACCAAAACACTGATCATTTATTCCTTTCTGTATTGGCTTCACAAAATTTGTATAATTGGATTTTTAAAATATAGAGAGTTTATTTATTTTTCTTCTAATCTTATTAGCTTGTAGAACCTACCCCTTGTCCCACCCCAACCTCCTAATTTAGCAGACTACAGCATTGTAACATCTTTAAGAAAAGATTTCCTGGACTACAGAGACAGCCCAGTTAGTAGAGTACTTGGGAAGCATGCACAGAACCCTGGGATTGCAGCCCAGCATTGCAGAAACCTGGCGTGATGATGCAAACCTATAATCCCAACACTCAGGAGGTGGGAAGATCAGGAAGGCAGGAAGATTGGAAGCTTAAGGCTACTAGTGAGTACGAAGCCAGACTGAGATACATGAGGTCCTAACTCAACCAACCAACCAACCAACCAAGCAAACAAATAAAAACCTTTTCAAAATTAAAATCTAGACTGAGCCACCCCCCCAACCCCACCCACCATCCCCTACCACACGCACTTACGATACTTTAATCTCATTGTTCTCCTTGAGAACTGGCAAGGCTGTGGTACTGCCCTTTCAATGCATGTCCCTGAGTGGACGCAAGCTCCATGGGGGTAGGTGCTATGTCTGCTTTGTTCAGGTCTGTATTTAAGCACATAGCTATCTTGGGTAGTCACAGAAGCATTCACGGCATTTAGTGAAAGCACAAGCATCCTCCGTTTCTGAGGGACAACAACACTGTTTCTGAAAGGATGTTCTGCTTTGTGCGTGTGTGGAGTGCTTGTGAACCTTTGTCCAAACCCTTCCTCAGAAATGGAAGACTTCGTCCCATCCCCCACCTGCCACCAGGAGCATTGCCAGGAATCGCCTCAGCGACCTCCTTCTTTGGGGAGGTGCTTCAGCTCAATTCACGGGAAGCCCCAAATTGTGTCCCCTTCTAGCTTGTGTTCAGGACTGGTAAGGCAGGGTTTCACTTCTCACACCCACCTAGGACACCCCTACTAGGTCACCCCAACTCCAGGTGCAGCTCGTGAGGTTGGGATGTCCTCACACATCAGTTCTTGCTCTTCTTCTTCCAACCTCCCTTTTACAGGGGTTTATTCCAGCAGCACTACCTAAGAGATATTCTGCACCTTGCTTTCCAATTCCTGTATCCACTACAACAAAGTCTGTGAATCACACAGTGTGGTCTAGCCTACTCTACACTCCTAAACAGCAAAGTGCAGTAATTTCTCCTCGCACCCACACAATGCCTGGAAATGCGATGTAGATCATAAGCAAACCAAAGGAAATAGACTTGCAGATGTTATAAAGTCTTCCTATTCCCAGGAGGGTGGTATTTGTACCTTTTCCAGAAATGCAGAAAGATCACCAATATCTATACTAACATTAAAGTCTAAGAAAAGCTAGGCTATGAGACTAACATATATAGCAGGCTTTAGCTGGTAATTCCTAGTCTGTACAATGTCTTCATAACAGTTTGCTTAAAGGCAGGACTTTCTTTCGTTCAGCAAAGACGGACTGAATGTCACGCGGAGATTTCAGCCTTATAGAGCTTGCATTCTAAGAAACAGAGAAAATCAAGCAATGTGTATATTATAGTGCGTGTGGAAGGATGGATGGAAATAGAAAACGCTTTACTGAGTGAGGTAACCCAGACCCAAAAAGAGAAATATGGTATGTACTCACTCATAAGTGGATTCTAGCCATAATTAAAGTCATTGAGCCTATAATTAGTGATCCTAGAGAAGCTAAATAAGAAGGTGAACCCAAAGAAAATCATATAGTTATCCTCCTGGATATTGGAAGTAGACAAGATTGCCAGGCAAAACTTGGGTGCACGGGGCTGTGGGGGGAGTGGATGTAAGGAGAGATAGGTAGAGAGAAGGGAGAAGGGGAGGATTCAGGAGAGCTTGGGGCAATGGGATGGGTGGGATGGAGGAAGGGTGGATATGGGAGCAGGGAAGTAAATATCTTAGTTAAGAGAGCCATTTTAGGGTTTGCAAGAGACTTGTCTCTAGAGGGGTTCCCAGGTCCAAGGAGAGGTCCCCAGATTGTTCCTTGGGCAGCAGAGGTGAGGGTGCCTGAACTGGCCTTGTCCCATAGCCACACTGATGAATATCTTGCATATCACCATAGAACCTTCATCTGGCGATGGATGGAGATAGAGGCAGAGAACCACACTGGAGCACTGGACTTAGCTCCCAAGGTCCAAATGAGGAGCAGAAGGAGGGAGAACATGAGCAAGGAAGTCAGGATCATGAGGGGTGCGATCACCCACTGAGTCGGTGGGACTGATCTAATGGGAGCTCACCAAAACCAGCTGGACTGGGAGTGATGGAGCATGTGATAAAACCGGACTCTCTGAACATGGCTGGCAATGAAGGCTGACTGAGAAGCCAAGGACAGTGGCACTGGGTTTTTATTCTACTGCATGGACTGACTTTGTGGGAGCCTGGTTTGTTTGGATGCTCACCTTTATAGACCTGTATGGAGGGGGGAGGACCTTGGACTTCTCACGGGGCAGGGAACCCTGACTGCACTTAAGACTAGAGAGGGAGGGGGAGGTGGGAAGGGGGAGGGTAAAAGGAGGCGGGGAGGAGGTGGAAATTTTTAATAAATAAATAAATAGGGTGGGATAAAGAGAATGGGAGAGTGGGTTGCAGTGTCTAAAATCTTTGCAAAGATGGTGATAAACAGGACAGAAGCGGGTGAGGCAGCTTGTTTGAGGATAAGTCTTAAGTAGTGTTTATATTAAGGGCAAGGGCACTAAGTGGATGTAAGAGAACGAGCGAAGCAAAGGGGCTAATCTCTTGATAAGAGACTACGTGATAATTTGCCATTTAAGTTAATTATTAAAATGGATATGCACGTTTGTGTGGATATGCACTTTTGTGTGTGTGTGGTAGTTGCTTGCTTTTTCTAAGAACGAAATGCTTACCCCAAGCACATTGGGTCTTGGGTGTGGGTGTCTGCACAAATAAAAACCAGAGGTTCAAGTTCCACAGACAAAACTGGCAGGAATTGGAGAAGGCTTTTTTTGAACTCTTCTGAAACCTCAGGCTCCAAGATGCCTAGATGGTAGATGGGTGAGATAAACATGGTGTCTGGGTTGTGGACCAAGACAAAGCTCTGCAACAAACCCAGAAAGAGGAATTGCAGAAGGTTGTATCAAGTTGAAAGAATATGGTAAGTTTTGGAGCAGAGTTTCCCCAGTATTCCAGAGGCCAGGTCCTGAATAGAGACAAGGCACGTATAGCTTCCAGCCTCGGGCTAGTCCACTCCTCCAACACGCCTGCTCTTTCAGCTCACGCCTGCCAAGACAGACCTCGCAAAGACAGACCTCGCCCAGCCAGACCTCGCCCTTTCCCGGCGTTCCAGTTCACTTTTGACCCATCTAAAATCCGCCTACGACCCGCCTTCTCGTGGAGACCCCGCCCCCTTCCCCACGCTCCAGTCAAGGCTTACGAATCACGTATTGGTCCCGCCCCTCTGCCCAGACCCCGCCCTGACTCCGCCCCCGACGGGCCGTCTCTACCTTTGTTTCTACTCTTCGCCCTGCCAAGGCTCCTCCTCCTCCCGCTAAAGTCACGCCCCTCAGGGACCGGAGTCTTTGACTTTGGTCCCGCCCATCCCTCCGGACCCGCCCCCTACGGTTTTAAGCGCTGCGCTGGGCGGACGTGACGCCGGGCTCGAGCCGTGGGCTGCGCGGGGACGCCGTCACACCTGCCTCTTGCTCAGGAATGGGTCTGCTGGTCGCAGCCAGCAGCATGATTCTGCTAGTGGTCCTGATGCTGTCTGCGGAGGCCGCGAGCAGAGCCGTGACTAGCACCGAGGATCCAGAGACGCCCACGGGTAATGACTCCGAGCCGCTGCGGGCAGGGTTGGGGCTGGAGGTCAGACGGGAGGCCGGGAAGTCCCTTCTAATCGGGTTGCAGCGCTCTGGGCAAGGCAGTCCCGGGTCCGGGGGCCGTAGGGGCACACGGCTCACCGCAGCTTACACGCCACTTTAGCCTCTTCTTCTTTGCCAACGCAATAACGCAAACGTTTAGTAACTAAAGTTTAATCTGTTATAGTTAGTTTCCAGGGCAGCGTTTGGCATTGTAAATACAACTCACTGTTTACAGACTTATTTTCGGGTGTTGTCCAAATTCTTTGTGCAGGAAAGAATTTGCAGAAGAAAGTTGTGCCAGTTGATAGTGATTCTGGCCTAGTCTGGTTTTTAAGTATGAAGCTGTAGGGGTTTAGGGGTTCTTCCTATAGAGCAATTCCTCAGAACCTTTGATTTCACCCGCTAATCACATTAACCACCAGGGAATACATGCTGGGGATAGTTTTCCGTGAATAGAGCTCTAGAGAGAGCCATGAAACTTGGCATCCACTCCTTCCCAGTCGCTATTCTTAAGTGCCCCAGATGTTTCCAGTTAGCAGCTGCTGGAAGACATGGAGATACCCAACCCGCTTTAACTCCCAGGAGCTCCAGTTAAGTGTGCAACATTCCCGTTCAGTCCTACCTTGACGTGATCTTCAAAGGCTAAGCAAAACTGATGACAATAAATAGGAAATAGCCACCTAGATGTCAGTCGGCAGAAGAACAGATAAAGAAAATGAGGTGCATATACAAATGAAATTCCATTCAGGCATAAGGAAACAGGAAATAATAATTGCGGAAAAATAGAATCAGAAATAGTGTTAGTTGTGTTAAGTGAAATTAGCCAGATTGAGAAAATTCAGAAAGCAAATATTATGTTTTCTTACCATATATAAACCCAGATTTTAAGTGTGTGTGGTGTGTGCGTGTGCTTATGTGTGTGTGTCTGTGCATGCACGTGCATGCGTGAAGGAGACCATGAGAGGGAGGAGAAACAATAAAAAACGGTAATAAAACAATGGATGGGACATGAATGCAAAAGGAAGGGTTCTTGGGAGAGGGAGGTGACCAGAAACAAGAGGCAGGAGCAACCGGGGGATAAATTAGAAAGTATGATGACATATATGTAGTATGTATGAAAATGCTGTGCGAAAATCTATTACTTTGGTACTTTAACATTTTTAATTAAATCGAGAATACAGTCATTCAAGAAAATGTCAAGCAAACAAATCATTAGTCTTCCCTTAGGATAGGCATGGTGCCAAGGGCTAGGAAGACAAGTTTGGTTAGGACTTACTGGGTGTTGGCAACTGTCTTAGCAGAGGACATAACAGATCTGTTTTCACAGCCACCTCTAATGCAGTGGTGCTGGTATCTCCATCTACGGTGAGGCACACAGGGCTGCCTAAATGCTAGAGTCCTCATTCTTAACCACCCTGCCAACAGCCATTACCCAGAACAAGCTGCCTGTCACCGTGGGCGATTGCGGTACGTGGGTGATTACAGTACGCCGCGATAAGAACTTGAACTTACTTAAAAGCTGCTGGGAACTAAGATAAGAGTCCTAAACCCCACCTAGGGGACTCTGGGTAGATTTCACAGAGAAAGTTAGCCCAGGCTTAGCCCCAGAGGTCTAGAGAGAATTGACAGAGATGTGAAGTGCCATGTTAAGCTAGAGGAATAGTAAGTGTCTTATCATAGACTGTGTGTCAGGACAGCAGGACGAAACAATTGAAAGTCTTGTGTGTAGCAGAAAGGGATGGAAATGTGACTTTAGCTGAGAAGTTTATTGGTTCAGAGAATCCAAGAGAGAGAGATAAACAGAAAATGAGAGCGATCACCTTGGTTTCAGGAAGCTAGCACTTGGAACACAGGAAGGCTGCAACTTACCACTTCTTATTTCTAGAGGCCTAGCTATGGACAGATTCCCTATTTGGCAATAGTCATAAGTGCTGGTAGCCTTTGGGTTTTAAAATCTTGCAACTTAAATCCAAGAAAAATCCCACGAGGAAGACTCTGATTTCCCTAGGTTGACTGGATGCCAACTGGTGTGGGAAGGACATTGTCAGAAGGTGTGGTGTGGGATTTTCAAAAATAGAACCATAGTGTTCCTGACAGAAGCAAAGGGCCTGCGCCAAGAAAATAATGTGCCCCCTATTCCTGGTGACCTCGTGCAGGTTTAGATAGTGCCAGTTAAGAAAAGCCAGGCAGCATATAAAGTAGATTGAGGAAGAAAACCCTTTAGGAGGCTGTAGCTCAAGGCGGTGGAGGGATTCCTTGAGGAATGGCTGTATAATGGAGAAGAGGCGACCTTTGAAGGAGTACTGAGAAGGCAGAGTCCATTGGACTCTGGCTGTGGGTGGAGAGAATGATCCGGCTGCCTGGTGGGGCAGCGCCTTACATGGAGTGCCAGGCACTTCCTTCTGCTGAGGTTGTTCTCTGTGGCTTCATGGTTTTCAAGTCTTCAAATCCTGCCCTCTGTGATAAGTTCTGCTCCCTTCTGCACTGTACCCTAGCATTTTATACTAATTTTAATATATTATTTTATGTTACATATTATTTATATATATTTATATATTATTTTAATAATATAATTTAAAAAGTTAACATACAAAATTTAGGAACACGCAGAAATAGGGTCGATGGTTTTGTTTTAATTGTACAGGTAATCAGAACGAGATTTTGGTTAGTATGAAGTGACTTCAAGAGAGAAAGGAATTGGTTCATTTGTAATTTTCTTATTAAAGGGACATCTTTATTTTGGATACCCCAGGGATTCACAATAAGAATACAAAATATCCATTTTAGTCCTGCCTGAGGTATGGAAGGGACTTGCTGTAATGCGTTATTCAGGTTTCACGGCGGCTTTATACAGCTGTGGCAAAGCCATAAAACAGCACGATCGCGTGAAGCAGATTCTCGTGAAGTTATCAGAAAGCAATCGTCTCCACTCCGCCTTTATATGTGGAGGGAACAGCCCTTGTTTTAGTAAACAGACACAAGGGTGTTTAGTGAAAACGAACAAGGCACTGTGCACTGTTATCTTGACTTACCTTCCCCAAAGTTTTCTTTTCTCCTTCATAAAGTCTGTACCATAATCCTGCCGTGCATGGGATGGCTTGGAGAATACCTGAGCTGTGCCCTGTAGAGTCTGCTATACCTAAATCACTGTCACTTAGCGTGTGTAGCATTACTTTAACAGATAATATTTAATGTTAAATTATTTTAGTTATGTATGAAGATCTGTATTGTTTTTTTTTAAATCATCAAGATCCATATAAGAAATTTAAAATTTGCTCAGGAGTGAAACTCATTTTTCTAGCATTCACTTTTTTTGTTTTGTTTTGTTTTTAGCAGAAAAGGCCAGTCTGCTTTTTGTTTTTTTCCCCAGTTCCCAAACTATTTTTCACTTTAAGAATAAATTAGCCCAGGGGCTTCAACTATAGTTCAGTGATAGAACACATGCCTGGCATCCCCAAAGCCCTGGGTTCAGTGCCGGAAATAAAGGACGTGGTAAGGAAGCCTGAAGATACCCCTGTTCAGCTTAAACCCACGACCTGCTGCTACCTCCCAAAACAGAAGCTGAAATGCATGAAGGAAAACATCTCTTCCCACAGATTGGGAATGGCCCCTTCCAGAGGGAGAAGGTGGTCATAAATTTATTTTGACAGAAATAACAAAACCTTGGTATTTTCTACTTATGTAGATTCCTCATTCCAGTTCTCAGTTTGCAATAAGACCTCACCCTCGTGAAAACGGAGGTGTCTCCGCGCGGCTCTTCCTACCTCAGGCCAGCAGACCTTCGCTCAGAAAGTCCGCCATTTGGAAAAGGGCCCAGATGCTTGATTTCATTATAGCCTTTGGTTGTGAGTTGAAGGAGTCTGGGAATCAAATAATTCGGAGCCCTTTTCTGAAAACAAGTTCCAGAAAACATCTGTTTTCAAGAGACCCCAAAATCTGTAAGATTGTTTTAGTCTGTGAAACTATTCTAGCGTCCTCTTAAACTCCAGAGATGATAATGCCTCTTTGCTTCCCCCGGGTGTATTTTTATTTATACAGTGTAAATATATCCCGAATAGAGGCTTGCTGTGAACCTTAGCTACTTCAGCCACTCTGCACTGTAATTTAGAGGTCAGGTGATAACATCTGAAAGTACTGACGAGTGTGACAGTTGTCGTGTAAGTTTGGCAAAGACAAAAGTGGTGTCTAGTAGCCTAACCACATGGTTTCTCTTCTGGTTGTATTAAACCACAGGTGATGTCATTTGGTATATTAACTAAAAGTTTCTCTTTAGTAGTAAGTCATGTTATAATCCATTGAAACTTCTTCCTACCGCCTGTTTGCTTGATGTGGGATAGACAGTGATTTGGAGGCCAGCCTGGGCTACTGTCTCAAACAAGAAGGTTGGCACACGTAGTTAGTATTTTATTATGATGAGGGTCATCACACACGATCCACACTCTTAATTCTTAACTACGGTTATAAGCCTATCTCCCCAGGGCCACTCTCCGGTGTGACGTCTCTTAGCTGAAGGTCAAGTCCAGTCTCTTAACCGGAGTCTCTGATTCAAGGGTCAGGATCCTGGGAGAGACTCTCCCTCCTGTCACAGAGTAGATCAAAGTGGCGTCTCTCCAGATGTGCAGAGCAGGGCATTGCCCTTGGTCTCTGCTTATATGCTGTCCAGTATGAGTTTTGGAGTACTAGTCATGTGTCTGTTTTCTTGAGTGAGTGATGTCCCTGGATTCTGGCTGTCAGGTGCAGCCTTGGGTATAGTGGTGATCCTGACTAAGCTGTTTTTATATGTCTAAAAGATGTTTTTTTTTTTTACTATGCTCATTACATCTACAGTGTGATCCTGTCTCAAAAAAACCAATCAATCAATCAATCAATCAGTCAACAGCAAAGCACATGATGCTGTCCAAGACTGTTATTGCTTGTGGTTTTATGTTGCATAACTCAGTGGCTTCTTCCTAAATATAAATGAACTTTGATAATGTTGTAAGTATTCCGAGTGGCTTCTATGTGCCTTTTCCTCAAGGCAGGAATTTCATATTGTATATGTACAGTTAGAAACCTACTTCTATTGGGAATAGTTAAAAAGAGGATCCTAGGTGGTAGAGAGATGGCACCGGGGTTAAAGATGCTTGCTACTCTTGCAGAAGACTCAAGTTTTGTTCCCAGCACCCATATGGCAGCCAACAACCATGTGTAGCTCCACTTCCAATGGATCCAGTGCACGTTTCCGGCCTCCACGGGCACCAGGCACTCCTGTGATGCACACCTACACATGCAGCAAACACTCATGCACATACAAATAAATCTTTAAAAACTTAAAAAGGTTTTAAAAGGAAGTAAAGAACTCGCTGATAGAAGTTGGAGGAAGGAGCATCCTTGCGCTATGGAGGAGGAGGCTTAGCAGCTTTCATGATGTGCAAGTAGAAAGTGTGCTTCTGGTGCCGTGTGAGCAGCCCAGGAGGGTCCCAAGCAAAGTGTGGAAGGCACCACCTGGTCTTTGCTCATTCCTTGTCAAAATGTGAATGCTGGCAGGCTAACTAAGGAAAAGTGGTTTAAAGGAAATCACGATACCAGATCTTTTGTTGAGATCCCTGATCCATTTGTGGTTTTGTGCAGGGTGAGAGATGAGGGTCTGGCTTCTTCTTCTGCAAGCAGCTGTCTGCTTTGTCCAGCACCATTTGCTGAAAATGCTGTCTCTTCCTCAATGCGTTTTTTTGGCCTCTTTGTCAAAACTCAGGTGACTATAGAAGCATGGGCTTACATTTGGATCCGCAGTGTTACTCAGTCGATTAACGTCTCTGTTTTTATGCAGGCACCATGCTATTCTTATTGCAATAGTTTTGTAGGGTAGCCAGAACTCAGGGAATGTGATACCTCTAGCAATGTTTCGACTGCTTATGATTCTTTTGGCTATCCTGTGTCTTTTGTGCTTCCATATGTATTTTAAGATCATCTTCAATTTCTGTGAAGAATTGCTTGGGAATTTTGATGAGAATTACATTGAAACTGTGCATTGCTTTTGGTAGGATGGCCATTTTTGGAATATTAATGCTACAAATTCATGTGCACGGAAGGTCTTTCATCTTCTGACGTCTAATTTCTTTCTTCATTGTTTTACAGTTTTCATTGTATAGGTTTTATACTTCCTTTGTTAGGTTTATTCCAAGATAAATTGTCTTGTTTGTTTTTTAGGATAAGTGTCAAACCATTCAAAATCCCATCCTGGATGGGAGAAGGGCTCATGAAGGTCCCCCACCCCCGCCTCACTAAGGAGTAGTTGATGGTTACTGGGAGAAGGAGAGTGCCAGTTAAATTCAGAGATAGTCTCACTCCAGCCCCCTCAGGGTGCACATGTTCCCAGCAGATGGCCCTACATCCATGCCCAGATAGGCAGCCTTAAGGGACTTAGTGCTCTTAAAAATAAATACAAACAAACAACAAAACAAAAAACAGCTCCAGAAGTTGAGAGGGACACATGGTGATAAGGGATGTGGATGAAGGGAGTGGAGATTAATTTGATCAAAACATCAGGTGCATGTATGAAATTCTCACAGAAAGAGCAAGGAGGGCGAGAGAGAAAAACTGATGCTTTGCCGTTTTCAAGCTCTGCAGAGGCCGCCGATGTTGAAACTGAGAAATGACTTCTGAAAGTAGTTCAGATTCATCATGAACACCCACCTCCACCTGACCTGGTTTTTTTTTTTTTTTTTTTTTTTAAATCTCACAGGCTGGCCGTGGAATTCTAAACACTCCATTCAAATGCCACTTAAATGCTGGCATTACAGGTGTGCTTTAACACACCTGATTCACTTAGTGTGTTGTTCTGGTTTGAGATTTGTGTGTGTGTGTGTGTGCTGATTGATTTAAATATGCTGTAGTCATTGTGGGCTGGTTATTTGGCTTTAATGTTGAGTTGTTCTTGGGGGGGGGAGTAGTAGTTTTTATTTATTCTTAAACCATGGTTTATTAACTGGAACCTAGGCTGTTTGGGAAGGCAGAAGTCCAGACACACTCTCTGAAAGAACGCCCTCCTAAGGGAGCCCCAGGTTTCCATTCTGTGAGTGGCCGTGGGCAGTCTTTAAGAAATCAGGAAAGGAAGGAGCCAGGCAAGAGCAGTGTGTTTAGGCTTGCCCTTAAGGAAACTGCTTAGAAAACCAAAGCTTATAGGTTCTGATGTCCCAGCATGCATCTGTGGTGTTTCTGGAGGCATAGTAGAAAGTTTACAGTTTTCTGGCTAATGGCCACAGAAAGATCAAGAAAATCCTGCTGAGTGCCTGGATCTGGAGACAGCCACCCCACCCCCTTCTTCAGAATCTCAGTCTTTGCCATAAGCTTTACCCTATGTTGATAAATAATAGAGAAACTAGATATATTTTCAAAACAAATTAACTGGGAGAGAATGAAATACAGTAATCATAAAGCATTTTAAAATAAAAGCATTCTCCCCTCCAAACAGTAAAGAGCTTCTTAAAATTATAGACATACAAAGCGTGTTTCTCAGCTGTTAAATGCTCTTGACCTTTGGAGCTGGATATTCGTTGCCATGGTGCTGCTCTGCCCATAGCATTGTTATATCTTCAGCAGCCTCTCTGACCTTTACCCTCCAGATGCCTGTGGTGGACCCCGTCCCAACTTAGAGTCCAAGTTATCAGGACCAAAAATGTCTACAGACATTGTATACTGTACCCTTGGGGACAAAAATCATGTGTTGTTGTAAATCACAACTTAAGGGAGAAGTACTTGGAAAAAATGGCAGTAGAATTTGTGACCTTTAATGATGTGGCATGGGGTGGGGGCATTTGCAGCCTCCCTCACACTAGACAACCACTCTTTCACTGACCTACAGTCCCCTAGGTAGAAAGATAATGCATGTGTTAAAAAATTAGGGATTAAAACAGCGGACCAGTCTGGTCTTAAATATTAAAAATGTTTATTAGAGGAGAAAAATATCTGGTAGGTGTTTCCAAGCAGGTATTTTACATATGTAAATTAATAGGTGTCCTAGTTTCATTTCTGTGGCTGTGATAAAAACTTCCTGGCAAAAACAGCTGAAAGGAAGAGGGTTTATTTGGGCTCACAATTCCAGATTGCTGTCTGTCATCGAGGGGAAGTCTAGGCACAGGGAGCTTGAAGCAGTTAGCCACATCATATCCACTCTCAAAGCACAGAGAAGGGAATTAATGTGTGCATACTAATTGCTGAGCTTCCAAATCCAGGAATTGTACAACCCACTTTTAGGTTTCTTCACATCCACACAGCAACCTGATCTATGCAATCCTTCACTGAGACTCTCTTCCCAGATAATGTCTAGGTTGTGTCAAGTGGGATAATTAAAATTATCACAAGGTCTCACTCAATAGAAGACAAAGTCCAAAAGACCTATCTAACAGATACTTGGGAAAGAACCTGGGTTTCTTAACGACTTGGCCTGGGGTGTAATTCTTGATTAGAGCAATCTAAGTAAGTATAATTAGTATCGATATATTGAAAAAAAATATATAAGCATGGGCCTGGGTGCTCTTAGAGCACTCATGGGAGATGGCCAGGTCTGCAAGGGAGCCACTTTACTGCGCACATTCTCATGCATGGGTGGGTTTTAGCTTTTTAAGTCAGTCATGCTTAATGTCCTGGTAAGATGGAATGATCTTGAATTTGGGGTCATATCACCATCTTTACATTTATGGTCATCCACCAGCTCTCTCCCTGTGACTCTTGAGAGTCCTCCCCACAGATCTTTCAGGAGTGGTTTAAAGGGAGAAAAGGCACAGCCCAGGGAGCAGTGTTGATGACACTGGATGACCAGTGGCTGCTTCAGTTGTTGCTAGGCAGATTTCTGTGTGCTATTTAGAAAAGAACAGCACACCTTCCCCCACAGGAGGCAGTGTTGAGAGCCTGGTGGCATTCTCCAGTAAGAATGTGGCCAGTTCTTCTGTAGACACTGAGAGCAGTCTGCGCTGGCAAACACTGAGAACCCTGTGATTACGGTGAAGCGAAGACATGATTGTTATTATGGTAGGCAGTGTGTTTGTTTATCGGAGCCGTACAAATGTTGTGGGAGTTGTCTTATGCTGTGTTTGTGTTTCCCAGATATACTAGTTTATGTTCCCGCTGCTGTTTCAAAATACCCAACAGAAGCAACTGTTTTGACTCACAGTCTGAGGGCTGCAGTTTGTCCTAGGGAAGAAGGGTGGCAGCAGAGGGTAGGAGTTAACTCAGTCACACTGAACCCAGTCAGGAAGAGAGATGATGACCGTCCCTACTTCCCCCATCCTTTCTCTTTTTGTTCAGTCTGGGACCCCTTAGAACAGTGGTTTCAACCTTCCTAATGCTATGACCCTTTAATACAGTTCCCCATGTTGCAGTGGCCCCACCAAGCATAGAATTATTTTCATTGCTACTTCATAACTATAATTTTGCTACTGTTATGAATCACAGTGTAATTTTTTTTTTTTTTGAGATAGAAAGTTGCCATAGGGGAATCAACCAACGGGTTGAGGACCACTGTCTTAGAATGATGCCTCCCACATCCAGGGTGGGTCTTCCCTCCTCAGCTAGCTTCTCCAGAAACCTCTCTCACTGAGACATGCCGAGGATTCTCTCCTGGGTGACTAAATATATTCAAGAACACATCGAGGATTAACCATCACGGCTTACATCGTGGTGATGTTTGCATAGCCTAAAGTGAATCAGAACTCATCTGCACACTTTCAACAGAACATGTCCCATGAGTTCGCTCTGGTTGACATGACTTCAGTAGCTGTCACACTGCCTCCACTTCCGTGTGCATGTTAGACTAACATGCCATTGCATTAGGCTTTCTGTTGCCGATGTTAGTTTCTTACTGTGACCCCTTTTGGTTTTGACTCTCTTACAGTGCCTGCACCAACGAATGTTCTGATTACATCTTATAACTTGAACCCTGTCCTGTGCTGGGAATACCAGGATATGCCACAGACTCCCACTTTTACTGTGCAGATAAAGAACTATGGGTGAGTATTGCTCGGTTAGTATTTCTATTCGGTTTTAAGCCGAATCTTTTCGTAGTCCGTGCGTCTCGGTGGTCCTCCATCATCCCTCACCAAACTTTTATCAGCTGTCTGCAGATGTCACAAGATGCTAAGGATCCAGATTAGCCCTGCTGGGTGGCCATCCAGGATTTCTCTCTAGTCTCTGAGTCAACTAAGGTTAGCTGTTAGCAAGGATTAGCCACATGCAGTGCAGTTAAGGTCAGGGAGGGCAGACACCACCTGGACAGCAGCTTACCAGTCTTTCAGAATAAATACAAGTCAAGTCTTGGAAAACAAGACTTCAGTGTGGATCTGCCGTCTCATGATTTAATAAGGAATGGAGGTTAGCAACTTGATAGGCATGCTCCAAAGGCAACCTTTGTATCTGCCCTTCAGACCCCAGTGAATGGTTATCCCAGGCTTGGTATCGTGCAAACTGGTAATTTGATAAAGGTGTTAGCACTCAGGTCTGTCCTGAGTGTGTTCTTTTAAGTAACCTGTGGAGCAAAACCACATGAAGGCATGAGTATCCTGTTCGACACAAGTCCACAGATATCTCAGGAGCTGTTCGTTACTATAACTCTGTCTAGCTAGGGTTTCTGTTACTGCAGTGAAGCACCATGATGGAAGCAACTTGGGAAGGAAAGGGTTTATTTGGCTGACACTTCCATATCACTGTTCATCACTGAAGGGAGGTCAGGACAGGAACTCAAACAGGGCAGGATCCTGGAGGCAGGAGCTCCTGCAGAGGCCATGGATGGGTGCTGCTTACTGGCTTGTTCCCCATGGCTTGCTCAGTCCGGTACCATCAGCCCAGGAGTGTTCCCATCCACAGTAGACCAGGCCTCCCCCATCAGTCACTAAGAAAATACCCCACAGGCTTGTGTTCAGGCTCCTTTTATGGAGGTATTTTCTTAGTCATGGTTCCCTCTCTCCACTAATTTTAGCTTGTGTCAAATTGACATAAAACTCTCCAACACGGTCGCTTAGTAAATTGACAGAAACATTACACTCTGAAAACAGTCTGTTTGAAAACTCGGGGAGACAGAAACCCTAATAATAATTAATATGAATGCAAATAGATCTGGCCCTGGGGAAAGAACTTTTATCTGACAAACCTTACTATGCTTACCTTGGCACATTTTTTTTGTGGTGCTGGAGATCAAACCCAAGGCTCTACACATGCTAGGTAAACTGTCTACCACTGCACTGCTCCGCCATCCCCCATGCTGCATTTGTGTTTGTTGTATGCATGAGTGCAGGTTTGTGTGTGTGTGTGTGTGTGTGTGTGTGTGTGTGCAAGAGTGTATGCATGTATGCACACATACATGTGGAGGGTGGGGACAACTTCAAATGTCATTCCTTGTTCGTTTTTTGTTTTGTTTAATGTAGGTTCTGAGGCTTGAACTCAGGTCCTCATGCTCTGCACAGCAAGTACTTGATTGACTGAGCTGTCTCTCCTGTCAGCGTTTGCTTTTAGGTCTGTTGATTCCACATTAGGAACTTACCCGAAAGACACACTGTTCTAAAAATACAACTTGAGGTTCAGTAGGAGATTGAACACATGACTGCTGTAAAAATGGGTTACTGTATCAGCTTTGTAAAATATGAAGAAAATTTCATATTTTATGGCCCTAAATGTAATGATTTCCAGACCATATTGTTCAATGAAAAAAAAAGTTAAGTTCTATCAGGTCTATGCACTGTGCCCCGCTAGGGAAGATGAACAAGATGGACTGTCTGTGTGGGTGCTGTCTTACTCTGGGAAAAGAAGGGCAGGGAGTGAGAACCCTGAAGCCAGTGAGATCAGCTTTCTGCAGGAATGGGTAACAAACAATGTTGTGGAAACCAACTGGAAGAATCTCATGTTTCTTAGAGAAATGCTGATTCCAGTGTTAAGCCAAGAAACAAAATGAAGGTTTTTATAGGGATTTGAGGGAGTTGGATTTGTTAGATTGGTTTTTCAGGTTTTTGTCTTTTGGGGCTTAGGTCCAGCTTGTTTTCATAAACAACAAACACTGTACCTCCAAGCAACTGCCTCAGCCTGGGAAGACAGGAAAGTAATTAGAAAGTCTCCCTGTGGCAGACACAGATGATGGAGACATGTCCAAAGGATCTGGAAATTTTACTAGAAAGATAAATTTAAAAGAAAAACCTGACCACAATGAAGAGATTTTGTAATATGTCTGATTTTGTAATTGACTCCTATTTGTTTTAACAGGATTCATAAGAGTTTAAAAGTGGAGTCTGAAACTTAAATATAAGATGTGTTATGTGAGTTCTATCTCTTACAAAAGAATTCACAACGAGGGTTATATATGCCTTATCTCAAATTCTTGGGGCCAGGAATATTTTATATTCTGACTTTTTAGATCCTGAAAGGTTTATATATACCTAAGTAGATACCTAAGTGGGGGACCTAAGTCTAAACATGAGACTTAGGTCATATATACCTTATCCACATATAACCTAAAAGTAGCAGTTGTAGTTTTTATAGTGTTTTGATTATTTTATTAAAATATAATTTTTCGTAAGGATTGAAGCCAGAGCTTAA